TTTATTTGATGTTTAAAACGATATTGATTATTATATATACTCTTGTACAAAATATGTCCGAGGTCCGCTATTGAAAATTACTTCAGCTATAATTATCATAGAATAATCCACGTTCAACTATTTATTGCGGGTTATTACTAGGTATCATGTATTTTTGAGTGTGAATGCACCATTCCAGTTGAAAAGCGCAGGAAAGTAAGAACATAATGTAGTGCCCTTTATCATATTTGTATTTCCAAGTTCATATTAGGGATCATGCATTTGACAACCTGGACCGTAGAGGAAACGGCGAAAACTAAGAGTCATAATATTTGACCTTGATGCACAACCGAAAGGAAATTTAGCGATGTGCAGGGAAGTCCACAAATGTGATGAATCCAGCCAAAATAGCACATGTGTCAGACATTTACATGTTACACGTGATGACGTGTTATCCCTTATAACCAATGCCGATTTCTGACTTATTAAAAGCGGCATGGCAGGTATATATATATATATAAGCATATAGTTTTGCATTGCGGCATATGAGTTATAAATACATAAAGTTAACACATATTCATGGCATTTTCGAGGGTATCATATTAGTTATAAAGATTTTGAAAGGCTATTCAATATGGCCGTATATAAACGGTTGTTTGAAAATACATGTATAATACATAAACATACAATTTCTTATTAAATAAACAGCAGTCGTGTATATAAATATATAAACTTTATAAAACTGCATGTTTGTAACGTAATTTTTCATTGGAAAATCGAGACATTTATTTAATTATAGAGATTTTTTGGTTTATTTGTAACTTTATTTTCTGATTTTTACACACATGTACAAGTATAATAAAGAACTTCGATAGCTATTAATATTGCGAACAACCGTTTATATTATACAATTATTGACTAGTGAGCCATTGAATATGATGTGATATTCACCGGCAGAAGACTTTTTGCCGGTGAATATCACATCATATTCAATGGCTCACTAGTCAATAATTGTTTTATTATATGAATAGGCTAAGAATTAAAAAAAAATCACGAAAAAGTACAACCTTATATACATGTACAAATTTTGCCTCGTTGAAGCGCGGGGAAAAAGACGCACGTGTTAGGCGTGCAACGACTACGAGAACGCTGCGCATACAAAAGTAATTCAAGTTTATACCGGTTTAGCCTTTAAGTATAACAGTAAAGTAATGTTATTTCAATCGAGAAATATGCCATAAAGAACAAAACGCAACAATTATTTTTTAATTAACACACGTAATTAACAGTCTACGGTGTATGGTCATTGAATATGAGTCTCAATCTATATTTAGACTTGGAAAATCCAATTTAGCCAGTTAATATGATACTACACCCAGTGAATATGATTTTATAAAAAGTTATGTTGACTACAGTTTGGACCAATGAGATTGCAGCTATTTTTAGATCATATAATAAACGACCATATAACCTGTTGGATTTATTTATAACGAACTCATAATACATCAAGCATTTTTTTTGTTAAAAAAATGAAATAATTTCATAAATTTACGGCAGCCATGTATTTAAAAAGTACATTGTATGTATATAAAACGTCACGATTATCCAACAAACGTGCAGTATTATAAACACATACACGCAAAATTAAGGAGGTTCGATAAAATTATATTCTTTAAATTAAGCATGATGCCAGAATATGATAACATAAACATTTTAGAGCGGGAAAAAAACTTAGGGTTCACCGATCTCATTTCCTGTACGTGAATTTGATTTTTTCCTTAATTGTGGTTATTTCAAGGTAATATGACTTAAATGTAAGTCTGAAAAATCTTTTTTCTCCCGCATATTACGTTATTTACTATATGTGTGTACATTATTAGAGAAAGACTTAATTCCATAAAATACTTCTATTACCTTTTTTTTTTTATTTCATTTCATACTTTAAAATTCTTTAAACATATACCATATTTGAAACCATTTTTTTTTATAAATGTCACAATTTAAGAAAAAGAAGATAAACTAAAGCTATTAAACGCGTAGGTCTTTACTAAATAGTAATAGAGAAAAACTTTTCCTGAAACAACTCTTACGCTGTAAACATACAATTTATTTATATTGGTGTTCTCACTATATATGGTTATATAACACAGTGACATTAAATTTTCGTATTCAAGAAGCATGTTCTGTTTATCTTTACGAGTATCTCTTATACATGTATGTCTGTATGACAAAAAATGAACTTACGGTCTTTTTAAGTCCAAGGTTGAACGTGGATTATTCCATGATAATTATGGCTGAAGTAATTTTCAATGGAAGGAAAAATGAAAGCGGGCCTCGGACATATATTTGTACGAGCGTATATATATAGTAATTAATATCGTTTTAAACATCAAAATAAACACGTTTCTCATATGTCAAAGTAAGAAAAGGGCTGTTCTCAATTGAAAAATGCCTTACGTCAAGTTAAATTCTTAAAATATAAAAAAATGGTATCGGGCCCACCGCACTGCGTTTGCAATCGAATCCACCGCCGTCTGCGACGAAAAAATTTTTTTGTCATTTATTTTATAAACAGGCAATACTAATTTCCCAATTTTCCAAATTATGGTTAATTTGTGAAAGTATCATTGATTCGATGTGATGCCGATGCATTATGGGTCGTTTTTGCACACATTTGTATGTGTTTTTAACCAAAATTAGGCAAAAGTGGCGTCCCCTCATCAAACTGTACAGAAGTGTTTGCATAAACGGCAATGAATTGCACCGTGCCCGTGTAATAGGTTGAAAGAGTACATGTGTGGGCTCCAGTCTCACTGAGTGTTTCCAGTAAAACATTAAAATATAAAACAAAATTCAGTCATATACTTACCGAAAACAACAAACGGCCAAATTTTATCCACCGCTTCTGCGACGAATACTCCACCGTCGCTGCGGTAGACCCACCGCTTCTGCGAAAGCTATGGCCAGTGTGGAAAAGTCAATCTGTTTTATCAATCGTTTACATTGTGTATGCCTATATATAACATGCATAGCTAAAAAAAATATTTGCACTAAATATATGTTGTGTGTTATGTCAACGTAAGTAAATATCTTTTGCGATGAAATATCTATATAAAATCTATACATGTACATAAATTCATTTTGTTTTGCAACGCTATATAATATTATGCTAATTCTCGAGGATACTTTAAATTTTAGAATTATCTCCTGTTGTTAGCAGTTTATATTACTTGTTATCTGTAATCAACAGAAATAGTCTAGGGCTGTCATTGAATATTGCAATCGATATTCACCATCCAATACAATATCGATACACACTTTCAAATATCAATACAAGCTAAATATTTATTTATTTATGTTTGTGAATATATCTCTCTATTTTGTCTAATAAGAGAAGTCACTTTTTCCAGTTGTCTTGGCTACCTTTAACTTTAAATTCCATTTTCAGTACCAAAAATAACAGAAAAAACAAACTTTCTGCTAGTTTGTAGTATTTGTAATGTGTAATACAAGCATGCATATCGCCATGATCCCAGTTTATAACACATATTTAAATATTTATCATTGTATCTACTGTCGAAGTCGATATATCGATATAACGAAATTTTCGATTAATGACATCCCTAAGAGATACTAAATAAATAAATAAATAAATAATGATGAGTTTTGTCCATAACTTTTGTGGGTGCGCGCATAATAAATCATCATTTACTAAATAGAAATTAAAATTGACTGTCTTACTGCAATTTTCAAAATTACAAAAAAGAAGAAAACGTCTTCAGCTAAAAACCGTTGCATCATCAGCATACAGTCTCATTGAGGCGTTTTCGTCATGGGTAGATAGATGGGGTATATTTGACGAGAAAGATGGGGTATATTTAACGATAAAGTTCTGGTCTATTTGACGAGAAAGACTATAATGTAGAACGCATGTTCTAGATACAAACTATCCCTTAGAACCACTACCCATTTAAAGGTTTATCATTCGTGATTGAAAATAAGTTTGACAGCCTTAAAAAAGGGAATAAAAGAGATAAAAATAGCACTTTATCAATAACAAAGTTATGCAGGGTTTCATGTTGTATGTAAACGTGTGCTGTGTCTAAGTACAAAGAATTTAGGCTATTGAATAAAAATAAACCTATAATATATTTTAGATGTCCATCGCCACTCAGAACCTTATTAAGGCTTAACTAAATGTCTTTGATTTTCATACCAAAACGAAGTTTGCCGTTAAGAAAAATGCAATATAACCATTTACGAATCGGGGAAATCAAAGGAAAAACAGACTAAAATAGTGGCGCGTTACGCCCTTTTAAAATATGTCTAAAAAAGGAAAATTAAACAGAAAAACAAAAACATCTTTCACTGGTAACTGCCTAATACTTCTAGCGAGGGGTTTCAAACTGAAATCCTTTTATAATCAAATGTTTGTAAACCAATTCAAACAAAAAGGTATACTGAAAATGTTTGTAAACCCATACAAACAAAAAGGTTTAGATATTTTGGATTCTTTTTTATTACATGCTTTTCGGTGGTTTATAGAAATAAATCAGTGATATAAAACTGGTTATTTCACTGTTTGAAACAGTGAAATAACCACTTTGATAATTTCACTGTTTTGAATTTAAGCCCCTTACGTTGTTTCAGTGAAATACCAGCGTGCACAATACTGGGTACCAACTTAATGACGTGACGTCGTAAATGACGTCACGTTGTATTATTTTTTGGCGCGCTTTTCATTCAGTATTATGTTTAATGTCTTTTTAAAACGTTTCAATGCATATAATAAAAAGAAATTTTGTTTAGTTTAGTGTAATATCGAAATATATTTCACCTTGTGAACACCAAAAGTTCATATTTCACTCGGGTGGTCGTTCTGTATTTTGTACAAACCTCCAAAAATTTAAAATGACTTATAGAGGACTCACCCATATGGGTAGCCGAGTATAAATAAACTCAAATACACACAGGTTACAAACCTTTATCATAGTTGTAGAAGTTTGAAAACGAGGACCGCTCTTATCTACGAAGATTATAAAGTAGGATGGGTAGTTTATAAATAAGAATACCAAACACACAATGAATAAGAATACCAAACACACGACTTCACTCACATCATAATATTGCAAGAAGGAAAAATGCCGTCGGAAATTGCATATAGGAAAGGTAATTGTTTTAACATATTTTATTTTTGATATTTAACAGTATTATTTTGATACAGAAAAATGATTAATATACAAAATACACAATACTAAAAGAACTGAAATAATGTGAGAGTAACATCGCTATACTTAAATTGTTGACTTCAGAGTTTACTGTGATATCAATACAAATTCAAAGAACAAAGAAAGGAAAATTATTTCAATGATATGAAGAGTTTCTTTAATATTCATTTACTAAGCTGAACATTGCACTTTAAACGTTTTGCATTCTTCAGCATAACCGATTCAGAAATATATATATTATATATGGATTTTATCCGTAAATATATCATAAATATATATCATGACAGATTCCAAAATCTTAAAGAGACCTTACCGACATTTTTTTTGACGTGACGGGACTCAAAGTTTTGCGTTAATATAAATTTAGGTGTAACTATCTATAATACAAATATAATGAATTGATAAAAGTACAGAGGAGACATTCAACATGTTTACGTGTGTCATTTTAAATACGGAAAAACAAAATCTTTCAAATACATTATATGCACGAATAGATGTAAATGATACAGAATGACATTTTTCCAAAATAAAACTTGTAATGTCAATTTCGTAAAACATAGATGACACACATGATTTTTGTTCGAATTCAAAGTAAATGGAATTTTTGTTTTATGATATCTAAGTTCAAATCAATGTTATTGACCATTTCTGTTTTGTGCCGAATATTGCATTATTTAACTGAGACATATATGCAGATACGACGAAAGTAACAATGTCAGTACGACAAAATAATCTCAACATAATAATTGTTTACAAATAGTTCTCTTAATTGATATTTTATTTTCAGGAAGCGAGTTTCCAGCTTTAGAGGCTGGGAAGTTGCGGGTATACAGTATGAGGCATTGTCCGTATGCCCAGAGAGCTCGAATTGTGATGCTTCATAAAAATATTGAGTAAATATCATCAAGTACTTCTACTTTTTGCCATTTAACATAATTATGTATCTCTTTAACGAGACACTATAATGTATCGAATCGCAGTCTATCTTAATAAAGCTATATAAATATTTAAAACATCTAGATCTATAAAAAAGAGAAAATATTTAAATGTTTTTAAATATGAAAATTTTACAATGATTAAATACACATACACTTGTACGACGAGTGAATGATATACAGGAAATTTTAACACGACCCGCATTTGTCACTATTGAATAGAAGAACCGAAAGTGTGTGTTAGTATGCAATAAAGTCACAGTTGACGTTCTATATTTAGATATGTGACGTAATCATTATACATGTGACGTAACCACTAAAAGAATCAGACCAAACTCCTCACAGCGGTTACGTCACGCTTTGCTACTTTAACCACTGCCACCACTGAAATCACGTGATGATAGTTGTATCATGTGACAAAAACATGGCGGCCAGTTTCAGAACGCCAAGGATCCCATATCAAACTGTCAGATTTATAATTACATCCTTACCAGACAAAATAAGTTCAAGACACACAATTTGTTATCACTTTAAAACAAGTGCCGGATCAAATCTTTTTGTGCAATCGTTCAATAACTGTTTATATTCTGCCATTGTTTACTGGTTGTTACTATGCATACGGTGTCACAGTGAAAATATCTTTCGTTATGTTTACAAAATAATTTTTATACGTATAATTTTTTACTTTCTTGTACATTAAGCATAACTATTTAACGAAAGAAAACTAAAATGATATAAAGTATTCTATTTTAAAATTAAAAGTGAAAAAAATATATCCGGCTATATTCGACCGAATTTACTTGTGGTGGCAGTGGTTACTGTACAGATCAGGGGAAGTAACCGCTGCGAGGAGTTTGGAATCAGACGCGCTGAAAATAAACTTTTACAGACATAAATCAGGCGCAATTTTGCTTAATATCAGGTATTAAGAAAAAATATATCCGAAACAGTGGTTTTATCGCACAATAACATCACTGTTTAGAGTTCGGATGCGAGGAATTATATCACGACCTCGGGCGTAGCCCGAGTGATATAATGATAGTGATGATATCCAGCGATAAAATCACCGATTTGGAAATATTATTTCGATTCTAACTCGACATCAATATCACAGGCACGAGTATCGGACCTGGGAAGAAAACATATGACCAGATTGAACATCTTAAAAGTGTCAAAAACCAAAAAAAAATTTGTAAATAATGACCCCCTTTAAAAATATACTATAAGTTAAGAGAAGGCCGGAAACTCCAGATTCGAGCCTACGAGCAAGGGTCATTCATTTCCCGGGCCGTTGTGAAAACAATTGGCCAGATAATTAAAATTAATTTTATCACTATTTCACTTTTGTATTAAGCTTCAAAATGAGACCAACCCCAAGTCTCTTGCCCTACCCGTTCATGAAATATCTATCAGGAAACGAGCGAATTCGTGCTAAAAATCCTTGGTAGACAGAATTGCGGCACAACGATTCGGTACGTAAACATAGACTAATACATGTATGCCAGCTGAGTACGGGTCAAAATCACTTGAATTTACTAAATAATATTACTAAATTCATTAAATGAGACCACTCACAACTGTCAGTAGCATCTGATACACACGAGATTCGAGTTTCAAACATTTTCACGGTCTTTCAAAATTTTATTTTTATATTATATTTTTAAAGGAGGTCATTATTTACATTTTTATTTGGTTTTTGACACTTTTAAGATGAACACAGGTTTTATTATCAATCTGGTCATATTTTTTCTTCCCAGGTCCGATACTCGTGCCTGTGATCAATATATAAAGGGTGCCGTTCCTGATATTAAGCAAAATTGTGCCTGATTTGTTTCCGTACTTATTTACAGCGCGTCAGATTTTTTAGTGGTTAAGTCACATGTATAATGATGGCGTCACATATCTAAATATAGAACGGCAACAGTGATTTTATTGCATATTCTAACACGACCCGCATTTTTCCCTATTAAACATAGAAGAACCGAAAGTGTGTATTATTATGCTATAAAATCACTGTTTGACGTTCTATATTTAGATATGTGACGTAATCGTTATACACGTGACGTAACCACTAAAAATGTGACGCGCTGAAAATAAGTACGGAAACAAATCAGGCGCAGTTTATCTAATTATCATGTACGGCAGCATTTATTTCTTGATGTCGTGTTAGAATCGAAATAATATATCCAAATCGGTGATTTTATTGCTTGATAACATCACTGTATGTCGTTCGGATGCGCATCATTATATCACTCGGGCTACGCCCTCGTGATATAATTCCCCGCATCCGAACTCCAAACAGTGATGTTATTGAGCAATAAAATCACAGTTTGGGATATATTATTTCTTAAATACCACACACTTTCGGTTCTTCTATATTCAATAGGGTAAAATGCGGGTCGTGCTAGAATGCTTAATTAACCACTGATCCATTGGTTTATTTATAGATACAACTAGTCTATAGAACTATGGAATTGATTATTTCTCTATGTCAAATCTATTACAGATTTGAAACTGTCAATATCAATTTGAAGGAAAAACCAGAATGGTTTCTAGAACTTGCTCCACTTGGTACAGTGCCAGCTATACAAAAAGATGACATAATTGTATATGATTCTCCAATCGTTTGTCAGTATCTTGACGAAACCTACCCAGGTGAAAAGTTAACGCCAAACGATCCTTACCAGAAGGCAAAAGATGCAATGTTGGTAGAAAGGTACTCAAAGGTACATATACAAATATAATGTTCAAAAATATTTAAGGTATATTTTCATATCCATGAACACTGAAATGGTTTGATCAGTATAATAATCCATCTGATATACGATGTTTAAAATATAATTAAAAATAAGCTTTAAACTATAATCAGTCAATCAGGGCTTATCAAAATGACAATTATTGAGACGAGGTATCATCAGTGAGACAAAAAAAAATCTTTTTCATAAATAGATAAATGCATTTTATACCAAGCAACAAACGTAGTCCGAAAAAATGACCCAGCTATCTCCATTGACATCCTACTTATTTATCGTACTCAATCTAAGAAGTTAATTACGTCAAGTGTTCGTCATAAAGCAACGAAGTAATGTTACATCATATTCTACAGAAAGTTGCATTATATTTTACAGAAAGTTGTAACACCATTCTACAGAATGGCTTTAAAGCAAGAGCCTGAAGCACTTGGGGAGCTACTGTCCGGTCTTAACGTCCTTGAAGACGAGTTAAAGTCAAGAGGCAAAACATTCTTTGGAGGTATGTGTTGTGTCAATCTCAGGGCTTTTCCTTCTTCACCTCTTCTTTTTAAAAATTTTGTTGCGCTTCAAATCTTTATACTTGTATTTCGATTAACAAATCGCCATCGACAAATATAGTGTTTCCGTGAGATTGTCAGTTGTATCTAAATAGCAACACTTGACGTGATCAAATGATGATAATACGCTATTTAAAACCGTTCAGTGGCTGACTATGCTTTTCAAAACATTCCCCAATTTGCCTCACCCAACTTAAATTGGTGAATGTTTTGAAAAGCATAGTCAGCTACAGAACGGTTTTATACAGCGTATTATCATCACTTGATCACGTCAAGTTATGGCGTTTCTATGCTAACGATGCTGAAACTAACCAGAACACTCTACTAATCTTTATTACCGTTTTTCATTTTCTCCATTTTATACTGATTGAAAATCGGCAAAAATATACAACTATCTGCTAAGGCTTTGTAAGTTATTTCTGTGTGTATCAAAACATCTTTAAACCGACAACTTCATATCGATCTGGTTGATTCATGCCCATAGAAAATCATGCTTGTACTTGTAAATCGTAACAAAATTTGAGCCACGTCACGCCAAAGCCAACACTATGTGTTTGCGACCAGCATGGATCCAGACCAGCCTGCACATCCGCGCAGTCTGATCAGGATCCATGCTGCTCGCTGTCAGTTTCTCTACTTGCTATAGGGTTTGTAAGCGAACAGCATGGGTCCTGATCAGACTGCGCGGATGCTCAGGCTGGTCTGGATCCTTGCTGGTCTCAAACGCATAGTGTTTGTTTTGTCGTGACATGGCTCATTTCATTTTTTTCCCTTAATTCTCAGGTGAGAAGCCGATGATGGTAGATTTCATGATATGGCCACACATGGAGAGAATAGTAGGTATGGGAAAAGTCAACGACAAAGCTGCAATAAGAAAAGATCAATTTCCAAACCTGGTAGCCTGGATAGACAACATTACAGCTGTCCCAGCGGTTAAAGTAACCAGATGTTCCGAAGAGGACTTCATTAAGATCATGGTGGCAAACAAGGAGGGAAAGGAGATCTATGACATTGGAGTTGAGCAATAACTTTAAACAAAGATATCAGTGTTTTAAATGTCATAACCAGTTTATTATGTCATGACCATTTTGAAAGGGTGACAAATAATTATAGTGTTTCATTGAATGTTTATTTTCTACATTGTGATAATATACGGTTTGTTTTTGTTACAACAGGAGCTTCATGCAAGAAATCAAAGTTCTTTTGAGAGACATTATGCTCATTTTGTTTCGTTGTCAAGTTGAGCTGAATAAGTTTTCTATTGCAACATGTATTGTAATGATAATTGACCAATTATTGGGAATGACAACGTTTAGGAAAAGCAACTTAAATTACCTAACCTGTTTTAGTAAAATATAAAAAGACTGTACCACTCTATTTATCATTTAGACGTTACGGCAATTTATTGAAACTTTTTGTACTACAAACTGTATATTTTGTATTGAAATATGACATTGTAAAAAAATATGGTAAAATGTATAGTTATTTTGACATTTACCTTTACACTCACAACATACAATTGGTTTGTCATAATGTCACTTAAAACAAGCTCTTAAAATGATACTAGCAATTACTGCATACTTTTTCATGTTTTGATTTGAAGTAAAAGAACTAATATAAACTTTTGTACGTTATTTGTAACAATGTGTACGTTATTCATATTCATGTAAAAGATCTGATATTTATGTGATCAATGGACAATTATTTGCAGCAACTCTTATTATCCGTTATTTATAAAGATATATAGAGATGTCCCCCAACTAAGCAAATTAAAAATTTTTGAGAAGTAAAAATGACCAAAATCGAGACAAAAAACATTGAATGTACTCAATCAAAAAGCAATATGCGAACCTTCAAATATATACAAAAAAAGGAAATGACAATTCTTATACATATATATTGCATTAATCATGCTAATTTGGCATAGTATATGTCATATAAAAGTTACGTTTTTCCAATTGTATTTGTACATAGAAAACGCAGATAACAACGTCTTTTTAAATGACACATTTTAATTCTTATCTTACTGAACTTAAATCTTGAAATATAAATTACACAATGGGTGAAATTATCTTTTAAAATGCCTTTTTCTCAATTCTGTTTAGATTTAACTATATTATGAACATACTGCAGCTTTCAAAAGTGCAGCCACTCCATCTCCCTTTTCTTTAATTTACTAATAATTATATTACAGACTCATTATGCCTCATAAACAATTATATTTTTTTCTTCTGTAAAGAAAGCAAGTGTTTTATAATGTTTAATCAATTTTAGAACATTTGAAGTGATTATAACTTAAAGATTTTAAAACATTGAAATACTGATTTTAGAGCATGTAGGGTTTCATGTCACCTAGAAGGAAGGTGCACGGAATGTGAAACCATTTGTTATAAAGTAGGAAAATGTAAACAAGAAGTATTTTGAGTTCCAAACAAAATTCTAATTCCGTTCTATTTGCATTTGCCAAAAAGCACCAGAAGCCAAAGATGTTTCAGCTAACTGACAATGAGTGATTTATTTTTGGAAACCAGAACAGATCTCCAAAATATACAGCTTTTGAAAAATATAATGAAAAACATTTCTGGGGCATAATGCACCTTTAAATACATGTTCCACCAGCGATAGTGTTAAAAGTCTTCCCATTATACAACATGTACATCGGATGGTTTACATCGCTTTATAACATGCTAAGTGTGTAGACGGTAGCTTGTATTAGTATTAACCACTTCTGTCAATGAAATAAGAAAAGTGCGTCTCAATTCTGACATCAGTAAAAACTAAAAAGGCTTCTATCTACATTTTTTGTATGTATGTATTACAGTTGCAGCATTAAATCGGAAAATGACATATGACTTTTAAAAACTATTTGATTTGTATGTGTAGAATACAAGATGACACAATTGATTATATCTTTTTGTATAATATTACACTTATATTGAATCTGCCGATCCATAAAACAGAAAAAAATATAGATTTACTTTTTATATTGTGTTGAATGTGATGGAAAGCAATAGCAGTATTTTAAAGGTGAAACAGTTTTTTTTCCATCTTAACATATTGACTAACTTTTTTGTAAAACTGGTATTTAATAAGTAAAATTCAACCATATGATAGAATTAATTTTTTACAACACGCTCACAAATATAGATTGTTAATGTGTATAAAGTAGATGAAACGTAAATCACATTGTTACAAGTATCTATATTTAATTACATGCTCCAAGTAAAATAAAGATTTTGTTTTTCAACAACTGACCCATTGTATATTCCAAAGATGGATGGGAAACAGAACCAGAAACTGCCAGAGTTGCCGATCATCAATGTGTCACCAGACAAATATCGAGGAAAATTCTATATTGAATTTGTATTTGAAATTTGTGATGACGCACTGAAGCTGGAAAGGATGTACAGAGTCAAATTCAGGTTAAAACAATCTAAAGGTTATCAGAAAAGGATGCAAAATGCCCAAAAGCATCTATTTTGTAAGTGATGATAATAATTATAATGTGTTACCATTTTGACATAATATTGATTCATTCTTTTCATTGAAAAATCCATCTAAACATCATAATGAAAAATGAAAAAGAAAGAGAAAAATCGCAAGGCAAGCTGGAAATCTTGAATGTCTTGTTAATTGTCCGCCCCAACAGTCCTTTTGGAATTACATTGTTTTAATCTATGGAGCGTCTGTTCACAAGTGGTTAAGGTCGTTGACTTCAAATCACGTGCACGTTACTGCTGTGGGTTTGAATCATACTAGTGACTTTGGATTCTTTCATGTGTGGAAGCTATCCAGGTGGTTCTTCCCGTGCCTGTAATAATGCACGGAATGGTACCCGAGATAATTCACAATCATAAAATCTAAAGAGCCCCATTTGACCTCTACTGTGTTGGTACGGCGTAAACCCAACAAAAACAAACAGAAAAAACATAACTATATCAATTGTACAAATTTGTTTGGTGTTACCTAATTTGTTTTTTTTTCTTTTTGAAAACAAGGATAACTTACCTTGGTGAGAATTGTCTAGACTCTTTCATCGTCATGAAATAACAGCGAGTCAACCTTTTTTTTATTCTTTTTAGAATGCGGTTTTCAAAATTTGATATCATTCAAGATGTTAAGAATGTCCGTACCTTTTAATAATACAGGTGTTCTCGCTTTTGAACAAATGTGTGGCAGTAACAAACTTTATAAGTAAATTGCAATACGGGACAGCCGGCTGACGATGCATATTCATTCACAAATATATTTGTTGATGAAACTCATAACTTATTGTGAGGAAAACGTTTTTTATAGCTATCATTTGCTCTTGAGGATTAAAAGCATAATTTTCGTGAAACCTGCAGTTACTTGTGTATGACCAGAATATCATACGTTTCTCAGATACCAAGCTAACTTTTATTGCATTATTAGATTTGTCAAAAAAAAAAACAAAACAAAAAAAAAAAACAACAACATTTTAAGGCATGCAAAATCCATGAATACGAAATTAATTGCTATCAATGGATCGAAATTCGACTACACGAAGTAACAAAGCAAACGTTGCATTCATAATTATTGATATAAATTATCATTTTAATTGTAGACGACAATTCGAAGATTTTTTTGTGTGAAAAACGGATGTGTTGAAGCATGTCTGTCAACATTTTCAGCACGTATTTCTAAGTGTAAATCCGGAAGGATCGAAAACTAATGTGTCCTAAATGTTAAGCGGTAACAGGTTCAACCAATATGACTAGTGTAAACCGGGATCAGAACATTTCTGCCTGTAAAGTTCGCTTTTCAAACAGTAAATATAAATGAAAAATCCTTTCAATCATAAATGGTTATGTCTATACTCAAAGAATGTCATTTAAGATATTCAACATTTAACACTTCTTTTGTAAAGAGGGGGGGGGGGGGGGCAGAATATTAGCTGATTTGAAAGTATCAGAGCAAGGGAACACCGACGTTCTTAATTATTGATTTAATAAGTACATATCTTTAAATGACAATAATTAAACAAACTTTAAGGTTATACATCATTGATTTAAATGAGTTATCCATATGATTTCTAAGATGCTTTTATTCAGTGTTTGTGTCCTTCAATTTGTATCTAACACACTCGATAATAAAACAGGATTGTGTACACTAGTTTGAGTAGATCCACCTCTTGCTAATAGCAAAGAATTAGATATCATAAATTATTAAGAGGGTCATACAAAAATTCCTTAAATGATCTTTTTTCTTTAAATTCAATTCACGTTTAATCATGCTTATAAGAAGAAAAAACATTGCTTTTAAAACGCTGAAAACGAAAATAAATGAAAATGTTACAAGCTCGGTCCTTAGCACATAAGTTTTCGTTTTATTAAATGTAATTTTACCTACCAACAAGGAAAACAACAACAACAACAAAAAGAGAAAAAAAATCTTATTGCACATTGCGTACATTTTGATAAAGATTTGTACACTATTTTAAAATCTGGAAACAAAGTGATCCCTCGGAAGCATTAATCACAACAAAACTACAAGAGAATTGCAGACTCGGTTTGATTGAGTCTGTACATACGTGCAACATCCCTAACGCCCCCTAGCACCGGCTTGAGCGGTACTCAATTCTCAACACTTAATAGTGCTGGCATCAATGATCTCGAAGGACCAGAAAAATATAACAACACTGAAGTGAAGAACGGGGAAACTTTTTTCAGCTGCTACGATTTTCTGGAAACAAAATAACCAATAATTACAAAAAACAATTGTTGAAATAAACGTTATACAACGTTATCAAACTACGATATCATGAGAATGGCAACTTTATACAGGACCCTCGATAAGATCTGTTTGTTGAAAAGCTATTTACACAGATTATGTTATCGTCGTAAAAATTGAACATCAGAATGGGAAACTAACATGAAATGAAAAACGCATTAAATAACATAAGTTTGCAAGCATTTAATAGCTTTCAAACGATATGTAAGGAGTAACAAAAACAGTTATGAATTACGAACAATTTGATTCAATTTTGGATCTGAATGATGGGCCTATTCATGATGAAAAGGCACGCATTTTAAATAAATTTTTAAATAATATTTTTGATCGGGAAATACGATACAATTATTTTTCAAATAGGAAAACAAAATTTATTCAAAACGGTGTTGAGCATATTGTTGAAAGTTGGATAAATATACTCTGCACCAAGTTAAAACAGAAATTTTATGACATCACCGCAAACATTAGAGATAAAATTGTCGAAGACATTTATACGACGAGTGAACGTTTTCTCAAAGTTGGGAGCTTTTATGAAGGAACAAAAAATTATTTTCCGAACGAATTCGATTTCACTGTCGTGTTATTCTCCACGAGACATGCATCGATTTGCCAATTTTTCAACCCATCAGATCTTAACGTTTTCTTTGCGGAGTTAGAAATGATATCCAAGACTCTTGCATATACACACGAGAACAACTCGTGGGAAGTAAGGTTTAAAGAATTCGTTGAATACAGAGGACCTGCTGCGAAAATGCGATTGGTTTTTGGTAATATATCTGATGTAAATTCATTCAGAGATATATTTGTTGACATAACTCTTGCAATTAGAGTTATCAATTTAGACACAAATGTCTTCAATAGCTATCTTAATTTTGGCGTAAAAAAATTCAGGGCAGAAGTTCGTGAAACTGACAGTTACTTGATTATGAGTACGGGGAAAATATCCTTCACAGAAACCGAACTAAATTTTATGAAATTTAAGTTGTCAAAGAGACATTTAAAGGTTTACCAAATTCTAAAATTTTTAATAAATGGTCATGGATGGGACGAGATTCTTTTACATGAAATTCTGAAATATGATGTTAATATGAGATGTGGTATATCTTCATATGCCCTCAAAAACATAATGATATATCATCATTACCATTGCGGTCGAGAGGATGACGACCTGGCACAATGTACACTTGATGCT